TTCTTTTGTTAGGCGTTCAGCGAATAAGATTGCTCATGCATTAGCTTAAGTAGCATGTTCTTTGTCTGTTAGCCAGATTTGGGAGTTTTCTCCCCCGAGTTGTACTGTGGATGATTTGTCCTTTGATTTCATTAATGATAATTAATTTGGTTTTTTTTTTAAAAGAAAGTTTTATCACAAAAGCATACTATTAGATTAGTTAAATAAGAAAAGAAAAAAGAAGAATATAATTTATACCCAAAAGGATACAGAGTAAACCTAGGGCCACACCCAAACTAATTATTGAAAGCGGAAGATAGTGAGTGACGATGCACTTTGTCACGGTGCGTCAAAATAATTTTCAATACTAACACTTATACGTAGTATAGCGTAGTAGAGTTCGTATCCACAGGGAAAAGAATAATTCTCTTTTTATGAAACTTAGTAAATAAAAGGGGGGATTTGGATTGAGTGATTTAATTTAATTAAAAACTAAGATGAATGACCTATATGAGATTTAATTCAAAGATAAAAAGGACTTGGCATTGCTACTTTCCACTTGTTGATATATTTTAGTCGATCATTGTTATATCTATAACTTATTCCCTCTCGAATACTCAATCGGGGAGTATATCCACTTCATCGAGAGTAGTTATTAACAACAACCGTTCATTAATAACCCTTACTATTAATCAAATATAGAACAACGCCTTATACCGATTTAATAGTAACATTTAATCTTTCTAACTCCTTGATGAAATCAATTGAGATTGATAACCTCAACACAACGGTTTCGGTTTAACCAACAAAATTAATCCCTCTTAAGTTTATTAGCCACGACCGTGCATTAATAAACTGAAGTTACTTACTTGTGAAACCATCAACGATTAACCATCGGTTCATTGATCGTTTCTAGTAATAATTAATATATGAAACAAAACTAGTTGATCCTTTAAGTAATGTTCAAAATATTAATATGAAATATGAGTAGGAATTAATTAATATTCAAGGAAGAATATTATTAAAGAAGATGAATCCTACTATAATTAATATCAAGATGTTAACTAATTGTCATCTTAGCAACACTCCCCAACATTAATATAGAGGAAGAAAATACCATTCTAACTAATGTCGAGATGTTAACTAATTGTCATCTTAGCAACACTCCCCAACATTAATATAGAGATGGTATTAAGGAAAGAACTATTAATTAATATTCAAGGAAAGAAGTTAAGAAAATAACTCACAACTTTAATAATCAACAAGCTTCAAGAGCAACACCAAGAATGGAAGTTTAGCTCCTCATTTGGAGACTAAACATAGCTAGAAAAATATAAAGAAATGTTATTCTAAAGTGAGCTTAAGAGTATGGAAGAAGGAAATGATTTTTAGAGAAGAAAAAGTGTGCTATTTATAGGTGTTTTTCAACACCTTTGGCCGGGTACCCGACCGGGTCAAGTACTTACCCGACCGGGTCAAGTACTTACCCGACCGGGTCCAGTGACTTTCTTGACAATTTCGTCTGTTAAATCATACCCGACCGGGTGGGGGTTTCTACCCGGTCGGGTTTTACTCCTGGGCAGTCAAATTTCTTGTTTTCTTCTCTTCAAAGTCTTCCTTTCCAACACCACAAATCCTAACTATACTTTACAACTTATAAAAAAAACTAAAATACAATTACAACTGAAATCACATAAATGTTTACAAACTAAATAAAACGTCAAACAATCAACATAAATCAAACATAAAAATATAGAATTATGCACTACTAATTAGTGTGCATCAGTGAGCCATATATGCAGAGAAAATATATAGAGCACGTTAATATGCTTATATGCTCACTAAAGAGTATGTCGACGTGATAAATGATTAAGTATTAATGTTTTCCATATATTTTAGAAGAATTAATCTTAGCCCTTCATTAGAGTATTCTACCAAGAACCGTAAAATCAAACCGGACCGAACTGTTATGACCTGGTACTGTTTCAACATTTATTAATTATTTGTTAATGGTTTGGTTTTTATTTCTTATTTATTAATTATTTTTTAATGATTCGATTCTCGATTCCTGAAAAAAATATGTACCTGAAACAGTTAAAGAATTATTATATATATGGAGTATATAATAATTAAAAATTTTATATATTACTTATTATTATATACAAGTACTTCATATATTTTAATGTTTTTTTACTTATTTATTTTATGTTAAATTCACTAGTTGGAATTGGTCCATTTGATGCTTTGCTCTTCACATAACTTATGTATCTCCTAATTTACGTTGCTGATTGAAGATCATAACTATTGATAATTGAATATCTTGTTTTGTTTTATTTACTAAAATTTACAATTTTTTTATAAACTTATGTTCTAAATTCAACTTTTGAGGTTTGAGATGATGATAAACATTTTTGTAATTCTTGTAATTTCAAACGTTGAATATCTTTATGTCACACAAATTTATCGGTGATTTGTAAGATTGTTTTTAAAATTTGGAATCGTAAAATGACAAGAACCAAACCGTTAAGGAATGGTTCAGTTCCATATCGGTTCTATAAATAATTTTTAAGAACGAGTTATAAGATTTGATATATTTCAAATGGTTCTATCTATTTTGTGTAGGAAGTAGAAATCAAAACGATCTCAAGCCTACTAGCATACTCCATATGAATTAAAAATAATGCTCCATATGAATTAGATAGAATATGGAGTGAAAAATATGGATTTGGAGAAAATTAGGAAAAATTCCCAAAAAATTAGTGAAAATGTTGTGAAATTTTAAACTAGAATTGTCAACTTTTTTTGCAAAAGCACTGTCAAATTTTTAATACCTAAATATAAATAATTACTATCAAATTTGAAAATAATATCGAAACACGGTAATTACTCATATTTTGGAATATCTCAGTCAATTTTCCAAATAATTATCCGATCAAAACATAAATGGGATGCTCCAATTAGCCAATATAATTTGACGCGTCGAGAAGGGCCGCTCATGAAACCTTCAGCACTCCAGATCCTTCATGCTCATCGTCGATTCTTCTCTTCTATTCTCTCTGCCCCGCCATCAACATGCAGAAGGCTGCACGCAGCTGCGGCAAGCACCGTCCCTCCGGACCCACTTCACTACCTCGGGTCCGTCCGCAGCCTCATCGGATCCCTTTCGAAGAACCCAATGAACTACAAAACTCTGACCACTCTAGACTCCTTCTTGGCCCAAACCCACATCTTCACCCCGGCAATATCAGTAATCGCCGTTGATTTTCTATGCCAAGTCAGGAAAATCCAGAGGGCAAAGGCTGTTGTTTTCAACCTCAAACGTCAAGGAAAGGTTTCCGACCACTTCTTGTATGGTTTAGTCTTTGATTTTTTAGTCAAAGACGGGAACTTTGATGATGTGGAAATGGTATGGGCTGAAATTTGTGGGTCTAAGGTTAGAATATGCGCTTCTGATTACGTGATGCACGTCTGCAAATATGGTAATGCAGACGAACTTAAGAGGGTTTGCCATAGAGTTATGATGGGCGGGAGGGTAATTTTGGAAAGGCAGATTTTTGTTGCTTTAATTGGGGCTTTGTGCAATGTGAACGAATGTGGTTTAGCTAAAGAGGTTTCCACTGAAATGCTTAACAGAGGGATTCCAGTGGATGATTTGAGCTACCTTGTGATATTTAAGTGTTTCTGTAGAAATGGGGCAGTGATTGAAGCTGACCTAATTCTGAGAAAATTAGTGAAACCTGATTTCCATTTTGGTGTATGCATTTACGGAAGCTTTCTGCAGGCACTGTGTAAATCAGGTAAATCAAGAGAGGCGAATAAACTGTTCCAGAAACTGATTAAAAATGGTAGTAGTAGTTCGGACATGTTAAGAAAGGCTGGAGTTGTGAAAAATGGAAGAAGGGCTATTTTCCAAATGAGCTGTGAGGTTCCAAATATTACAGCATATGAAGCTTATTTCAGGTCCTTATGCAGCGCAGGAAGGATAAATGATGCAGAGAATCTGCTGAAAGATATGATGAATACAAGAAATGTTCTTGAGGTTTGTGTGTATGGTTCCTTCATCAAGGCCCTTTTTCGGACAGGGAGGGGAGAAGATGCTCTGAAGTTCTTTAAAGTGGAGAGTAAGAAAGGACGAATAAGGAGGGAAGATATGGTAAGGTATGTCATTAAGGGGTTATGTGGTAATGGCAGAGTTGAAGAAGCTTTGGAGATTTTAACGGATGTAACTGAAGGTGGGAAGACAATAAGCGCTTTTGCTAGTTCATTTAATCACATTCTAGATAGTTATTGGAAAGAAGGAAGAGTTGTTGAGGCAGAGAGATTGTTTTGTAAATTGGAGGGTGGGGGCAGTTTTGGGGTTTCTGATGTGTGTAATTATTTTGAGATAATGATAAATGGTTATTGTGACAGAGGGAATGTTTCACAGGCACTTGGGTTACTGGAGGAAATGATTAGCCGAAAGGTATATGTGAAACAGACATTACATGCTTTGATCATTAAGGGATTATGTGAGGGGGGGAGACTGGAGGAAGGACTGAGATGTTTTGATGCAATGCTTGAAAATGAAAATGCTGTTTCTGGCATGATTTGGAGAGAACTTCTTCATCCATTGCTTCATTCAGATGATGCCAGCAGTAAACACTTCTGATTTTTGTAATTTATTTTAAGCTTGTTTTCTTGATTACCCAAAGTCCAAAGTGTGTGTTTCTGTTATCACATTAAAGGAAAATACTGTTATGACTTGTAAATGTCTTAGGAAAACAAATGTATACTGTTCTTTGTAGTCAGGTCTCAGCAACGAAGCTTTCATGTTGATTTCTGTAAGATCATGTAGCTCATAATGTGGACACTAACATCTAGCTTTAATATTACTCGGTATTTTTTTTAGATCACGTAGTTGTTGGTGATTTTAACTTTTAAGTATTGCTTCATAGTAAATAAAGTACTGAGTACTGGCCTAACAAAAATTAAGGACTCTCATGCGCTTAATCTATAGTGCCTATATATCGACCTCTACTGGGCATTTGTATGATTGTATCTTTCCAAATGGTTTGTTATCATTTATCAACAATACCAAAATTTCAAGGAATCACACATTATTCCCTTACGGAGCCCGGATGGCTTATGTGACATTAGAATCACCATTTTTTAAAAGGGGCCTACCGACCACATAAGCCATCAAACTCTACATTGGACTCTGTTTGGCTCCATATGACTACTCACCAACAACATGCTACTAATATCACTAAGATTTCCTATTCCAATTCATGGTAATCCTCGCATGGCGAAGATTCACTTGAAGCATCACTGTCGTACATTGCATCGTTTGGTGATGATGGAATTGATTCTACGTCCACAGTCGATGAACCTGTTTTATAAGATATAAACAAGTTTGAGCCAACGAAGAGAGAAAATAAATATAAACAATACACCCTAAGCCAACCAAGAGAGAATAAATATAAACAATACACCCTGTCATTGTTTAGTTGTTCCGTAATCTTTTCTAAAAAGTTCTTGAATGTTTGTACTACTTTCCTAATTTGGCAATTTCCATCATATCAATATATATCCTTGCCTTTTGAGTTTTCTTTTGTACTGTTTCTAGTACTTCATCTATTCTTTCCTATTATTCAACCTCTCTACTTTCATCTTAAAAACAGTGAATAACCTGGTGAAGCATCTTATAAAATAGAATTCATCTCTACAGAGCCATCATGGGTCATTACACTACATACATTGAATTCATCAATCCTTAACATTAAAGATTATGTAACCTTACAAAGTAAATAGAATAATTTGACAGGTGTGAGTACTCTATTAAGCATTATGAGTTAAAGAAACTCAAAAAAGAAAGAAATTAAAAAGCAAGGAGAGAAAGGGGTGTTGTTTGCTTACCTTTATGCAGTTTGGGGTTAAACTTCTTGGTGTACCGCCTGATCAATCTCCGGGCCTTTGAACCAGATAGTTGTCTAGCCAAAGGAGAGAACTCTGCCTCACTTTCACTCCACTCTCCACCATGTAAATCATTTTCTGCTTCCCCCCTCATTGTTCGAAGAACAAGGTTCTTTGCCTTACGGCGGTGGGAACTAAAAAGGCCTCTCACAGAGGTTACGAATCCATCCCCTGCCCCATCACTAGGGCGCTTCGGCCACGACAGTGGGTGCTGCTCCGATGTCCCGGCAGTTAAACCTCCATCACTATCGCTGTGGTTGGGCTCTATGGCAGGACCATTGCCACCACTGTCCTTTTGGCTGTGGTCTTTTCCTATTTTGAACTTCTTAATCTGTACGAATATATTTATGAGTTGTGATGACTAAAGTATGACCAGCTTTTACTTTTACTTTTTTTTTCAAAAAAATTTGATTTAAATAATCTCAAAACTCTAAATATATCCCAATTTCTTGTCCCCCAACCTCAGCATAGCTGCCCAGCTGTTGCAACTGCTGACACCGCCGTCTAGTGATTTTTTTTTTTACAAAACCTCTGAAAAAGTCACTTGTGGTGTCTGTGACAGTGACATATACTCACGTTTATTTAAATTGTTACAAAGTAGCAGCGCATTAGTCTTTAGCTTTTTCTTTAGTCATATTAATGTGAAAACCCCAAATACGACCAGAGTGTAAGTCATTTTACATCAGCATCAAGGTTAATCAGGTACAATGATATTAGGGACATATTAAGTCATCATACTCTTTGACAAAATATAAATTTCAAATCAACATAGTTGCCTCAGATATACAAAAAAAGGAAAATGTTTTCTTTGAGAGTGAGAAAATGGCATTCTCACCTGCATCCCGGTGACGGATTTCAATACTCCCCATATGATGTGTTTCTTAACTCGTGAGAATAGCCTTCCCCAGGTTCCGGTAAACTCAGCACAATGAAATGTGTCCATAAGCAATCTTAGATCACTTACTGCAAATCTGGATCCTTCATATGTCACCGAAAGCTCTACCTATATTATAACATAATAACAATCACGTCAAATTTTGTTCGAATACTAAAATCGTTAACAGGGGTAAGGCTGCGTACATCCGACCCCCTTACCCCACTGTAGGAGGGGAGCCTTTGTTGCACTGGGGTAATGATGATGACGATGACTGAAATCGTCAAATAAACTCAAGAAGTCACACAGCACTACATAATCTAAACAGGACAACCAACCTGGCTTATCTTAATGTTCTGGAACTCTCTCATTCTCCGGGGCCTTTTTTCATCATGTGCTTTCACTGCCTTTTTCTCCTCACGCCCAGATTTAACAAGTTTGGAATCTTTTGATTTATTTTTAACAGTGTCATCTGGAAGCTCCAAACCACCCTTTGACGTAGAGGTGCCCGAAGATTGAACTTTTGATACAAGTTCATTAGCAATTGATTCAGCAACATTTTCTTCCCATGTTCTATCAAAGGAAGCTGTCCTTCGTAACTTGGGCCCCTGCAAAAAATGAATAAAACTGAAAGAACTGAATAGTATGATCCATCTCAACTGATTGCTTTGACTAAAAGCTTAACTTGACAGAAGCATTACACATTTATAATATATTATTATCATTATGTCTTCAAAAGAAAAAGCATTTTACACTATTTCTTAAGAGTTCCATATCAAAATATTAGGGAGACACGTGTGTTTATCATGTTTTGAGTTAGATTATCTAATAAATTAGATTCAATCTTTTGGTGTGATTCGTCCCATGTGCACTATGATCCAGTCGAGCGTCTCCAATCCAATTATGAAATCTATCAATATCTGGACAGTAATAAAACCTTAGGTCCACTTCTGAAACACACTGAAACGTATACAAGAACACTTTAAGGTGTTGAAAACTCACATCAGATGAATCTGCGAAGGAAGGTTGTGGTACCGAGGGGGTGCTTGCTTTGGAAGAGCCATGGGATTCTTTAGTTAAGGGGCTGGTGGCCGCTGGAGCTTCAAGTGCTGATGAGCCTTTCTTTCCACGTCTTAAACCAGCACTAGTTGAAACTTTCCAGACTTCCTAAGCATAGCAAAAGAGCGCTCTCATAAATACACTTTCATGTATTTGTTTAAGTTAATCAGTGTCATCTTTTACATTCGTTTGTTAATTCCATTTACCTGCCGTCGGTGGGAGTCTTGTTCTTCTTCTGGAAAAAGGTACTCCCACATCATTTTGTACATTGTCTCAGCCAAATGTATCTTCAAAGGGTAGATCTCAACCTGAAAAAGAAACTCATGAACATTGTCCCCAACATACAAGGAAAATGAAAACCTTATCACACAATGCATCGACCCCATCCCTCCAGTCCCACACACAACAAAGTACTCTATGATGTAGCCTGGGCCAACAAAACAAAAGGTCAAGGGGCATGTGAAATGTATCGTGCACTACAAGTGTCTAGCATTAAATGGAACAGTGGGGGGCAGGTCCAAGCCCACCCAACTTTGTCATGCAGCTTTTTCCGATGTGCAACTTATTTTATTACATTATACAAATTTATGAAATGATTTTTTTGTGGTTGAAATTTGAATTTCTGCTATGCTAATCTCCTATCCATACAAGAAGAAGAAAATTAATATTTGGACGAAGATGCCCAAATGTTTCAGGATTTTTTCGCACAAATAAACTAAAAAAGGGTTTTCACACCTCATATAAAAAAAGGTACTCTGAAATGTAAAACTCCAAAACTCAAAACATTCAGGTAGTACTTTAAGTCTTTAACTGCATAGTGAAAATCCATAGGTTGATTCCTAGGTGTGATGGCATTATGAGGATAAAAAGGTACTCTATTGTTGTGATTCTAAGAAGAAAGTGAATATGCTTTGTAGATTACAATTTTCTTCAGAAGGAAATATTACTGTTTTCTTAAAATTAAAAAAAGCCTATACCTGGAAGAGTTCAATAGGAGAGTGTCCATCTTTTGGGGGGGCCTGTTTTGCATCTACATGAAGCGTCACTTTTCTGCAGATACAGAGGCAGCATAAGACCATTAGTCCATTAAGCACATAAAAGAAAATTATCTTTGCTTATGGCATCACACAACCCATTCATCATCATTACCCCAGTGCCGCAAAGGCTCCCACCTGCGGTGGGGGAAGGGGGGGTCGGATGTACGCAGTCTTACCCCTGTACTAAAAGCACAAAGAGACTGTTTCCGAATGACCCAAGTGAAAATCACGTCGAAAATTGCATAGACTGGCTGTTACTTCATACCAAAGAAGCGTAGACAGTTTAGTGAGTCACTTTGCTTTATTCCATCATATTCTAAAGCCAAAAAATAGTGAGTCTTTGGCACCATTGAAAATGATGGAAAGCATCACACAACCCATTGCGTTACAAAATACTGCTTTGATGTATGAACTCAAAATAATTGGTGAATCCAAAATAGGTTTCACGTTCAAATAGTCATACTGAAGAAAAAAGACATGTGTGCACCCATGAGATAGAGCAAGTCCATGGAAGGATAAGAGATGTATTAAGATTCTCCTGTTTTTGGATACCTTTGGGGCAAAGACAATTACAGAACAGAGCATTGTTAAACTGCTAACATGTAGTTATATTTCTTGGCTAGAAATGACATTCATGATTTTTGAAGCATCATTTTAAAAAATGAGTATGTGGTGAGTCCGTAAATAATTGTGATTTATTTTAAAAAAGAGCATGTGATAAAGAGCAATTCTTGAGTTTTGTTCTCAAGTTTCAAGAAAGGACTTGTATCAAGATAAAAACTGATGTGATTCAATAATGGATATAATTAGCACTAAAGTTTATACGTTTATCACCATTATCAAAGAAAGTTTAAGAAAGAATAAGCAACTCATTAGTTTTTTCTTATCATGTGCCCCACTAGCACACTTTAGAAAAACCCCAAGTGATATAATGCAAGGCTCAACACAAGAAATAAAATGAAAAAGGAAGCACAGCTGACAGCTTACTTTCCCCATTCAGGAGGAGGATTCCAGGCTGAAAGAACCATGTCACACTTGGCATTGGGCAGACAGTTTCTTATGACAAAGAATTTTATTGTGAATTTTGCAACACCAACATCTTTGTAATCCCTGTCAAAATCGTAAATCTGCATAAACAAACGCATCATTCTTAGTCATTTTAATGTGAACAGAAGGCTTATTCATGTAAGATCACAAGTCACAAAATGTGAATGAGTAAGTATTCAGATAAACAAAAACGGTTAGTTACATAGTGGGAATGTGAATTTAGTAAGCAATATATAGTCATCATCATTTACCCCAGTGCCACAAAGGCTCCCACCTACGGTGGGCTAAGGGGGGGTCGGATGTACGCAGTCTTACCCCTGTCCTAAAGCAGGATGACCCATAGTGAAAATCGCGTCTAAAATTGCATATGGACTGACTGCTGCTTCATAACAAAGAAGCGCAGACAGTTTAGTGAGTCATTTTGCTTTGTTCCATCATATTCTCAAGCCAAAAAAATAGTGAATCTTTGGCTCCATTGCAAATGATGGAAAATAAAATAAAAAATACTAACAATCCAGATTAAAATACTAACAATCAATTACTATGACCAGATTAGAATAAACCCAAGGGATGAAATATTGTTCACCTATGTTTTCATTCAATTGTTAAATCACACATTTTGGTTGGGTTTGTTTGACGTTAGTATGTCCTATGGATTCTAAAGGGGATACAGGCCCGTCTTGGTTCTTAATGAATTTTTCCTCCACCGTATGTTTTTAAACGGTGAATTTTTTATTTAAAAATATAAGAGAGTGGTTTTAAAACAAAATAAGCTCACGAAAACCATTAGCCAATGTACAAATGTTGCAAAAGAAGCAGTAGACTTAACATTAAGACATTGGATGACATTTTGAAAACTAAATCATGAATAGAGCTGTGGCTATTACCCAGTTTTCACCTCCAACTCATCAACAACCTCAGAATAAATAATGTGGAACTGCATAAAATAATCATTATTGTGTTGAATGCTATCCTCATTGCTAGAGAAGGATATAAATGTTACACTTCCTTAACTGGTTTTGAACCCAAAAGACACAAGAGTTGGAGAATAAAATATAATTACACTTCAATACGAATCTCACCATCTCATTTATCTCAGCTTCTGCAAATGACTTTCCATCTATAAGCATGCTCCAGGCAACTTTATTAATTTTCAAATAAATGCGCATAGCATGTGAAGGGCTTCTATTTTTTTCTTTCTCCATCAATCGTATCTGTGCGGCCTTCTGCAGGGCTGTCCTCAGAGAAGCATATGCAGCTTTTCTAGATTTTTTGGCACTTGCTAGCTCTTCCTTTAGTTTTTTGACCTGTCAAACCGAAATACAGGGTAACCAATGTTATACCAAAACAAGTATGAACCAACAAGCTGTTACCATTATGTTACTTTTCCTAAATAGTGAAAATGAAAAAACACAATAAACGAAGTACTATTATCTTTTAAGTTAAAGACTTGTGAATCCCTACAGATCCAACCCTAAGCTTCTGCTATGTAAATAGGGAGGGATAACCGTATGATATTAGGGATTTTTAAGACAAGCAATTTGACAGACCCAACTTTTGTCGACGAAATCAAACATAAAGGGATTCCTCTTACAGAAAGTGGGATAGGTCATGTTTATATGGAATCATCTACTGGATACAAAACATGCTGTCTCAACGAAAAGTGCCAACTTATCTAACCCAGTTAAAGGGCATTTCCAGCAAGTGATTTTACGCTATACGAAAGAGATCACTATGAAACACTAGGATAACTCTAATAAGGATATAGCAATTAAAAATTACATGAGTTTGGAACTAAACAATGTGCACTCCTATGGAATTAAACTGTATTCTGTACCAGTATGGATCTTCCACTAGTTACCATCCATGGTTCAAATTCCTTCTCCAAGCATTCTTCAGCACATACGTCATTGCGAATAGACAATTTCCTAATGTCATCCAGGATCAACATCACAGCACGTTCTTCTTGTTCAAGGTTGATTTTTGCTAATTCTACCTCTTCAACACCATAAGGAACAACTTCATCTGCCTCCTCTTCAACATCATCATCCTCAACTGGATAGGACAGATTAGCTTTCCGGGCCCTGAATAAAAAAAATCATGTAATCACTTGAACAAGATATGCACCCATTATTTACAATATTCCTAATGTTATACATTAAATTTGCTGCTTATAACACTAGACTAGAATCAGTAAATTGATCATAAAACTATAGCAAGCGGTTTCATGGACCAGACTAGGCATATTTAGTGGTTTATCTGAAGACTTGACATGGCCCTGCTACAAGTATTCAACCATATAGCTTCAGGAAGAAAAAAACAATAATAGTAACACTATAAGTATTTGAATAATCAAATTCAGAAAACAAAGAAGAAAAGCAGTGACACTGGAGATATTTTATTTACATGAAGTGTGTACATCATGCATTCCTTGTGTATCTCATCATGTATCATATATTAAAAGGGTGAATGTGTATACAAACGTATGAATGGTCAGTAAAACTTTCGTGATGAATAAATTAATAATTATAGACTATTTGGGATTACAACAAAATGTGGAGAACTATACTAGAGATACTACATCTACTTACTTTGGAGCCCTAGCAAGGAGGAGGTTGGTTAACACATCTGTCATAACTTGAAATTGCCGAGATGTCATTGTTGCAGTTATATTTTGAGAATTAAAAGAAAGCTCTTTCAAGGGCTTCACCTGCAATAGAATATAAAATGATCTACCTACATGAAAAGAAAGTTGATAGGAGCGCTAATGTGGTCATCAGTTCTACAGAGTATACCTTCAAATCTGGCGAGCCAGCTTTATGCCTTGTATAACGAAAAAACATATCACAAGGCATGAAAACTTGTTCCAGTAAAGCTCCTGTCCTTTTCACTTTTGGTGAGCTTTTAGAAATTTTAGGAAGCCATTGTACTCCAGCCCCTAGATCTATATCAGTTGGAGCAACGTGAGCCTGCACATGCTCTAACATCATGGAGAATTCCATCCGGCTCCACGTCAATTGTGGTAGATATTCTGAGTTTTGAACATTTCCTCTAAGTGACTGTTCAATCACCTCAGTACCAATATGCATAACTGAATGAAATGAGCGGGCTAACACGCGTCCACTAGCAGCAGCAAGCAAAAATCTACCCTGCAAATAAGGGAAGAAACATACATCGTTAGCATATGAATTGAAATCCCAAACTTTTCAATCGGGTTGATCAGTTCTTTCTGGATAAGTCTGAGTTTCTGTGCAAATTGATAGTAACTATAACGGTCATTCATGACATCTAGCCACCATTTTCATATTATAATCAA